ACAAAAAGAATAAAATATCTAGGAATAAACCTACCTAAGGAGACAAAAGACCTGTATGCAGAAAATTATAAGACACTGATGAAAGAAATTAAAGATGATACAAACAGATGGAGAGATATACCATGTTCTTGGATTGGAAGAATCAACATTGTGAAAATGACTCTACTACCCAAAGCAATCTACAGATTCAAGGCAATCCCTATCAAACTACCACTGGCATTTTTCACAGAACTAGAACAAGAACTTTCACGATTTGTATGGAAACACAAAAGACCCTGAATAGCCAAAGCAATCTTGAGAACGCAAAACAGAGCTGGAGGAATCAGGCTCCCTGACTTCAGACTATACTACAAAGCTACAGTAATCAAGACAGTATGGTACTGGCACAAAAACAGAAATATAGATCAATGGAACAGGATAGAAAGCCCAGAGGTAAACCCACGCACATATGGTCACCTTATCTTTGACAAAGGAGGCCAGAACATACAGTGGAGAAAAGACAGCCTGTTCAATAAGTGGTGCTGGGAAAACTGGACAGGTACATGTAAAAGTATGAAATTAGAACACTCCCTAACACCATACACAAAAATAAGCTCAAAATGGATTAAAGACCTAAATGTAAGGCCAGAAACTATCAAACTCTTAGAGGAAAACATAGGCAGAACACTCTATGACATAAATCACAGCAAGATCCTTCTTGACCCATCTCCTAGAGTAATGGAGATAAAAACAAAAATAAACAAATGGGACCTAATGAAACTTCAAAGCTTTTGCACAGCAAAGGAAACCATAAACAAGACCAAAAGACAGCCCTCAGAATGGGAGAAAATATTTGCAAATGAATCAACTGACAAAGGATTAATCTCTAAAATTTACAGGCAGCTCATGCAGCTCAATAACAAAAAAATAAACAACCCAATCCAAAAATGGGCAGAAGACCTAAATAGACATTTCTCCAAAGAAGATATACAGACTGCCAACAAACACATGAAAGAATGCTCAACATCATTAATCATTAGAGAAATGCAAATCAAAACTACAATGAGATATCATCTCACACCAGTCAGAATGGCCATCATCAAAAAATCTAGAAACAATAAATGCTGGAGAGGGTGTGGAGAAAAGGGAACACTCTTGCACTGCTGGTGGGAATGTGAATTGGTACAGCCACTATGGAGAACAGTATGGAGGTTCCTTAAAAAACTACAAATAGAACTACCATATGACCCAGCAATCCCACTACTGGGCATATACCCTGAGAAAACCATAATTCAAAAAGAGTCATGTACCAAAATGTTCATTGCAGCTCTATTTACAATAGCCAGGACATGGAAGCAACCTAAGTGTCCATCAACAGATGAATAGATAAAGAAGATGTGGCACATATATACAATGGAATATTACTCAGCCATAAAAAGAAACGAAATTGAGTTATTTGTAGTGAGGTGGATGGACCTGGAGTCTGTCATACAGAGTGAAGTAAGTCAGAAGGAGAAAAACAAATACCGTATGCTAACACATATATATGGAATCTAAGAAAAAAAAATGTCATGAAGAGCCTAGGGGTAGGACGGGAATAAAGACACAGACCTACTACAGCATGGACTTGAGGATATGGGGAGGGGGAAGGGTAAGCTGTGACGAAGTGAGAGAGTGGCATGGACATATATACACTTCCAAACGTACAGTTGATAGCTAGTGGGAAGCAGCCGCATGGCACAGGGAGATCAGCTAGGTGGTTTGTGACCACCTAAAGGGGTGGGATAGGGAGGGTGGGAGGGAGGGAGAAGCAAGAGGGAGGAGATATAGGAACATATGTATATGTATAACCGATTCACTTTGTTGTAAAGCAGAAACTAACACACCATTGTAAAGCAATTATACTCCAATAAAGATGTTAAAAAGAAAAAAAAAGAAATGCTGCAGCAAGGTAGAAGGATAAGAGATGCTTTCATTCAACTCTATCTTTATTGGCTTTCAAATTCCATCTGGAGTTTTAAAAAATGAGCAATTGTGCCAACTGTCGATAGCTTTGCAATCATCTCATAATGACCCGATCGTGAAACGATTTAGCAATACTGCTGCTAATTGCATTTGTGGATCTAGCAATTGGGTAACTAGCTGGTTATTACTCATTCCCCAAGAGCCATACACATCGCATTACAAGGAAGCTAATCTTAGAAATACTTGTTAACTTCAATGATAATTACTAGGTAATTGGCTAGAACATGCCATTGTGAATTTATCCGGAATATGCCAGGTAATTATCTGGTCTTATGTTCCCTGTAAAATAAATCCAGGGTCCAGAAACTGTTCCAGTTGGTTGGCTATCATCCAACCATCAACCTCTGCCAACCAACTGCATGAATGCGAGTGATTAATCAAATTACTCAAATATTTGGTTTCAAACTGAATGTTCAGATAAGAAACCTGGGTGGCCAACAAGTGGACGTTGCTGAACGGGAGAGAGAAGGGCACTCAGCCGCTCTCTAAGATAAATATATAACGACACAATAATATGCAATAAATGCCACTTCTTTGGGGCTCATCTGGCTTCTTCAAACAAAATACCAAAACACTTCAGAGACCAATTATATGTCCCAAAGCTGCAGAGTCTTTATCATGGTGCCAGGAAAAGGCTGCGCTATTTGTGAAATCTGCGGGCAGTTATGGTGCTTGGGGAGGGGGACTCAGAATTTTGTATGTAATAGAAAAGGGGCTGCCAACGCAGCTGGCTTGCAGGGGGAGCAACACATTTTCATAATGACCACTCTTTTTTCAAGGATGGCTGCTGACTGAATCCATCCATTTCCAATTAGCCAGCCCTTGGGAAAGAGGGGAGGGAGGCTTGGGTAACTGGGTTCCACTGATACCCCTGAAAAAGTCAGAGTCCGGGAGGTCCTTAGAGGGTCTAGGCAAAGGAGAAGAGATGATGGATTTCCAATTTCTAATTTGGGGATTTGAAAAAGAGGGGTTAGCAGGTCAGAAGGTGAGGGGCTGACCAGAGAGAAAGTTGGGTTAACAGACTGGTGGGAACAGTGGGCAGAAGGCCAGTGGTGGGGGAAAGACCACCTTCCAACCAGACTTGTGCACCTCAAGTAAAGGACTGTTGACAGCCTGCTAATATAGAAGATACATACTAGAAATGGGAAAGAAAAGGTAGCTAAGGGTCTTACATGCAGTGGTAGGTGGTAAGAATGGCTGCAGACTGTCTCTCTCCCTGCATCCACGTTCTTGCAACATGGCATTGCAAATCCTCCCATCCAAAGGCAGACTCTGTTCTCCATGCCTGGGATGGAGGATGGCCACGTGACTTGCTTTGGCCAATGGACATCAGCCAACGCAACGCAGACAGAGATGTGAAAGGCACTTGTCCAACAGGGCTTGACCTCTTGTTGTCTTGCTGCATTTGGAACCCTGAGACCACCCATGGGAATGAGCCCAGGCTGGCCTGTTGCGGGGATGAGAGGCTGTGTGGAGAAAAGCCAAGGCACCCCAGCTGACAGTGTGCCAACCAGCAGACACATGAGTGAGTGCGTCTGAGACTGGCCAGCCCTCAGTCTGACCAGCCAGCGGACCACAGACACATCTAAGAGCCCAGCTACTGAGCCTGGCTCAGCCCAGAACTGTTTGCAGACTAGAAAGAAACTGTGACTTAGGGGTATTTGTTACTCAGCAAAAGCTTACTGATACACTCACCTAATCAGGACAGCTCAGCCCCTGAATATGATCTGGGCTGATTATTTGAGAGCCACTTCTGGTCCTGTGTAGAGTTGAGAACTGTCAATTTCTACCCTGGTTTAAGGAGGGTTGAAGGGCCATCCTTAGATCTCTAGTCCTTTGCAAGCACTTACCATTTGACACGTGGGTTCCAGTCAGCCCACCAACTGCATAATCAATGGTGACAGACAATAACACACCCTCTACCGATCACCCAGGTCTTACAAATGGACTCAAAAAGGCTTTGTATGGATCACAAGGGAACAGATCAAAGATATAGCAGCTCTTCCCTGAGCCCACAGCTCCCACTATGGCACCTGCCAAAATGTGAGGCTTGTGTATTTGGGATCTTATTGCTTGGGTTGAGAATAAGAATGAGAAGGCTCCTAATGGACACTTGGCATCACAGGACACACCAAGAACACTGCTGCTGTGGCCAGTCCTAATGCAACAGAGGAGCAAAGGCCAGAGTTTAAAAACACACCAAAGGATTGTTCCACAACTGTTCAACTGAAACCAAAGCTATTTTTTTTTCAATGCCTACAGGTTAGAGAGAGCAAGTCCGAGAAAGTTCCTATCATGTGACATTTTCTTAATGTCAGTTCTCTGTTAACTACCCCTTTTGTGCAGCTATAGACCATGGATCCTGGATATTTAAAACAACCACGGTAGAGCTCTACAAAAGTGCTCTGCTATTTTAATGAAAGCCAGAGCAAGTCATCAGAATGTCAGTCCAGGGGTCAACAAACTAGGGTCTGCAGGCCAAACCCAGCCCATCACCTGGTTGTGTTAATAATGTTTTATTGGCACACAGCCACATACATCCATTTACATCTTGTCTGAGGCTGCTTTCACACTACAGTAGCAGAGTTGAGCAGTCACTAGAGAAACTATATGGCCCGCAAAGCCAAAAATACTGTTGGGCCCTTTAGAGAGAGTTTGCTGACCCCTGATTTAGCCTAATCCGTTCAATTTACATTTGGAGAAAGTGAGTCTCAGAGATGCTGTTTCACAAATATGGAGCACAGGCGGGTTTAGAATCAGCCTTTCTGACTTCCCATGTGGTGCCCGCTCCAGGGCACCACTCTGCCAAAGAGTTCTAGCATTAATCGTATTTTCTGGACTCTCAAGTCTTCAAACCATATAAGTTGTGATTTGGTAAAGCCAGAGACTCTCTATTTACCAAAATGTTGAATTCACCAGAACCTGCATTTCTCAACGCTGCCGGAAGCAGGGCTTTGGGAATGAGTGTACGGGTGGGGAGCCCGGGTGGGACTGACCTGGTGATGATGGCCAGGCGGGGCGGGCTCATGCAGGCGCCCATGAAGAGCACCACGTTCTCGTGCCGCGTCTGCCTGTAGGCCATCACCTCCCGCTTGAAGGCCTTGAGCTGGTCTTCATTATCCCTCTCAGTGTCGATCAGCCGGATGGCCACCTCCCCGTGCCAGCGGCCATGGTACACCTGCCCGAAGCGGCCCTTCCCGATGAGCTCGCCGATCTCCAGCTGTTCAAAGGGGATGTCCCACTCCTGAAGGAAGATGCTGGTCTGGCTGGCCTTGCGCGGGAAGCTCCGGGCCGAGAGCAGGGACAGGTTCATCTCCTCAAAGTCATCCTCCGACTCCTCGGCCTCGTCGTGACCCTCCTCGTTCTGCGGCCAGAGGGGGAGAGGGGTCAGTTCCCGCCACTGCCCCCACTGCCCGCCAGGTCCCACTGTGCCCCACTGTGTTTTCGGCTGGTGCACGCGTGTCTCTCTATTTACCCAGGTACCTCCTGCCTATCACCGTACTGCAATGAAGGAGCTGAAAGGGAGATCCTGGCAATCCATCCCTCTTGTGCTACAGGGAAACTGAGGCTCAGAGAGGGGAAATGCCAGGAGGACCACGTATTCCGGTTTCCCATGACTTTGCCCATTTGGGCACTGAAAGTCTCACACTTGGAAAACTGGCAAACGGGGATGGTTGGTCCCTGTGGGAAGTGCCTAGCTCTGGTCAGGCAGCCAGGCTGAGCTAGGATTGAGATTCAGGCCTCTCAGATCCTAATATCTGATGCCCTCCTACTTGACCATGATGTTTTGACTTGCCTGATTATTTATGTGGGAGTAAGAAAAATGACAGGCTGAAATATGGGTACACCATACACCTACATATAACATGTGACAACCCTCGACACGGAGGGCCTTTGCTTCCCCAGGGAATTTGGAATTGAGGAGGCAGAAACTGAGAGATGTCAGAGCTGCTCAGCACAGGCCAGAGGCCGGGGGTTCCTGTGCAGCTGAGATACAAGAGGGAGAGGTTGACAGAATGAGCCTAACACTCAGACCAAATGAGCTGGAATCTGGCTGCTGTGTGACCTTGGGCAAGTCACTTCACTTCTCTGGGCCTTCTTTTCCTCATCATAAAGTGGGGCTAATGATATCTGCCCCTAGGGGTGGTGTGAGGTTTTCAATAAGGCGAAGATCTGTTGAGTTCTTTGCACAGACCTGACCACCTGTAGGAAACATCCACTGGGATGGCTTATAAAATGCAGGTTCCTAGGCCCCACCCAGATTTTCTGAACCAGAATGTCATAAGGCCCGGGCCAGGACTCTTCATTTTTACCCTGCAACCCTACATGACTCAGGCACACTTAGACATGACCACTGCAACAGTTAGACACTCAAGGCCCAGGGACCTACCTTCGCAGCCTGGTGTCTGGGGGCACCTGGGGCTGCAGGGTCCTGCCCCTTGGGTTCTTTGGCTGGAATGGGGGAGCAGCAGGTGCCTGAGCCGGGGGGATTTTCAGGGGCTTGGAGTCTGACAAGATAGCCGGAGATGGTGGGCCCTTGGCTGGGTACAGGTCTCTCTGACCCCAAACCTGAGCAAGCTGTCCCCAATGGCACACTCAGGAGAAATGACACAGGAAATACACCTTCTTTCATGGTCATTTTCCAACTCCCACAATGGCTCCAGAAAAGGACATGATTTTCTCTGGAAACCCTGACTCCACTCCCTTCAGTTCAGGACAGACCAGCAGAGCCGAGGAGTCAGGGCTCTGGTTCTCACGCTGAAGACTTCATTTATTCCCCCAGGGGCTCTGGCAGGTGGGAAGAAGCCCCGCAACATTCTCAACACCCCGCCAAGCCAGTGTCCCTGAGGCTCCCGTCTCCTCCTACCACATGTTCTTTAGAAAGCAGCGGGGCACATCCCCCTTGGTACTCACCCAGCCCTGAGCTGAATTTTCAACTAAGAATAAATCACTTGCTAACTTCTGCACAACTAGCTTTTCCGTGATGCACACCATATAACGGCCCATTAGGCTCAGTGCCGGGAGGGGCCACCCGCTCGTTAGTCGTCCCGGAGTTAGAACAGCCATCAAACAGGGCCACTGCACCCCCAGCCCGCCCCAAGCCCTCTGCGTCATCAAAGACATCAATCGGCTTTGCCAAGTGGGTAGCCCCCGGAAAAAGTTGCTTCATTGCTCTCCGGTTCTCACCTCTGAGGTTGGCTCCACTTCAATTTGAAGTAATGGATTTCCTTCCAAGCTTTAGAGAAAGAAAAATAAATGTGACCCTCAGGTGAAAAGATGGGTCCATGCATTGACCTGATCCATGTAAGAAACGTCTTAAAATGAGAAGTCCTCACCACCAAGCCTTTTTCTCCAATTTCACTTCAATGCTTGTGTCTAGAATAATCCAAAACCTTGCCACCAAGGATTGGTGTGCAAGGACATTGTCTTAAATAGATTTACTGGCCTGCTCAGGGCTCATTTTTCTTTGTTGGTTTCCACTAATCTAGCAGTTTCCTTATAAACTGGCCTAAATGCCATGGATGGCAGGATCCTTAGAGCTCTAGGTGTTTCCTAGGAAAGAATGAATCAGATCTCTACAGTTCTGAATCTTTTGGAAGGATCCTAGAGTTCATTTGTTTTTTTTGCTCATTTATTCATTCATTCATTTGGTTAGAATTATGTGCCAGGAACAGTGCCAGACCTTTAGAGGGATACAGAGTTGAAACTGACACGGCTTCCTGACTTTAAGGAATATTTATACTACTACTGTTGTGCAGAAAGGCTACAGGTGACAAGCGTTGAAAGTTAGGTATGTACGGAATAAATGGAGGGTGTGGACATTCCCAGGAGAGAGGATTACTCCTCTCCTTATATCTCTGGATATATTTGAAGGTTAGCAGTGTTTTGAGTTGCACCTTGCCAATCACGTTCAGAAGACACGTGCAGGGTGAGAATGGGGAGGAGGAAGCCAGACCATACTGGCGTGGAAGACACAGGCGTGTGTGTGTGTGTGTGTGTGTGTGTGTGTGTGTGACTCATGCATATTCATGAGCTTGTGAGCTGCAGTTGTGTTCTGAGTATGGGAACAAGCTGGATATGGGTGCTGGGGGCACAATGTGAGTGTCAAGTGTCCACCGAGGACTGCGTGGGTATTATGGAATGTGCTCTGTGCAGGGGTTGTTCTGTGTGTGTGTGAGTTGGGTATACATACTGGGGATGCTGGGGGAGGGGGCGTGCCATTCTTGACAGTGTAACTGGTGATGTATTGGGGATGTGTGGGCGTGTTGGAGCACATGGTATGTGATGGAGATGTGGGGCACCATATGTGTTAAAGGATTTTGGGGGAGTGGGTTTTTAGAGCAGAGGATGTGTTTATGGAGTGAGCTGGAACTGGTGGGAGGAAGGGATCACAATGGCCACCACACCCTCTTCCTACTTCCACAATGGAAGCTTAGCAGGTTCCCCTGACCCACCTCCTCATTTGAGGGGGACCTCCCTTATCTTGACCCTCAGACCTCACCCAGAAAGCTGCTGACCCTGCAGAGAGAGTCAGTCCACTTGCTAGAGGAGGAGTGGTGAGGGGGAGTCTGGAAGACTGTAAGAACTCAAAGAAGGAGAAAGAAGTAACGTTTGCCATCCTATCAGCCAATAATTTACAGTACAGCTTGGGAAGGCAGAAACCACATCACAACAGCTGACATGCTGGAAACCTGACGCGCTGGGGGAGATTTGGGTGGAACAATGCAGCTGGGGTCCTTGCTCATGCCCAACAAAATGGACTGCTTGCCTCTGCTTGCATCAAGGCGTGATTATAGCAGCCGGGGCTATTTAATGATTTCCCTTCTGCAAAGAGTCAGTTCCCATCACTCCACGCACATTTAAGCAGATCGCAGGCACTTATTGACTCCGTTTTTCACTGGCACTCCCTGACTCTCAGTTAATAACCTGGAGTTCATCTTGCACAAATTGTGGAATTGGTTTATGTGCAGCAGAGAAATGATCTGGAGCTAGATGTCAGCACAATATCCCTAGGCAAGTTGCTCCTCCTTTGATTTCAGAAATGTACCATTTGGGTCTTTAACAAAGGCTATAACATGGGTCAGAAAGGATGGAGCAGCTAGGGTAGCCAGAAGGAAAACCAAGTAGGCAAAAATGTGAGTTGGGAAAGAAGTCAAATCAAAATTAGCCCCCTAGCATGCCCCAGACTTGGGTCACAACCAAAGAAGTTAAGGAAGGTGATTTCACTTTGGCTGCACAAGCAAAGAGGGTCTGTATCTTAAGGATGCTAAAGACACCACACACAAAGATGTTTGTTGCAGAGTTGTTTACAACAGTGAGATATAGGAAGATGTAAGATCCAGCGGTAGGGAAATGGTTAAGGAAATTATTCCGCATCGATATGATATTTTACATTCATTAAAATCAATGTGTATGAAGAGCCCAGAATAATATGAAAAAATGTGATGTTACAGCATTAAGGGATAAACAGAGCAGGATGGAAACTGCATACAGTGTGGATCACAAGTATGTAAAATATGAATAGAGCACACTTCTAAGAGTGGTGCAATTATAAGTGATTATTTTTCCTTTCTTTTTTTTTATAGAATAGTCCAAATTTCTCAAAATTAGCTTATTTTATTTTTATAATGTTATAAACCAGGGATCAGCAAACTTGTCCTACAAAGGGCCAGGTAGTAGATATTTTACACTTTGCAGGCCATACGGTCTCTGTTGCAACTACTCATCTCTGCTGTTGTAGTCTGGAAGCCTCTGTAGACAGCACATTGTGAACAAATGGGCATGGCTATGTTCCAATAAAACTTTAATTATAAAAATATGCTGAAAGTTGGATTTGTCCCATAGGCTATAAGTTGCTGATCCCTGGTATAAACCTAAATTATCCTTTTTAAAAGGGGGATAATGATGTAGAATAATTGCCTTTTCATTAAGCTCCAGCTATTGCCGGGGGGAAGTGGTCTTTCTGATCATAGGAGGGTCTGGGGGTCTGAAGGAAATGGTCTGGCCCCTGGAAATCACACTTGATCGGCAGGGCCAGGGACACAAGGCAGAAGTGACTCAAGGGGAAGGGTACTGTCCCTCTCTTGGCCTGGGCTGTCACGCTCTCTCTCTCTTAGCTTGAGTTATTCCCTTGTCTCTGTGGCCCTCTCATACTTCTCGCCCGCCTCCCACCTCATCATTTCCAGGAGAAGGAAGAAAGAAGACATGACCCTGAGCAAACTGAAGGGCCAGGGCAGGGGCAAAGGTCTCTGTTCCACTTACATTGGATTCGAGGTCACTGGATGCAGGATGACCTGGGGTGCCCGGGTCGGCGTCTCTGGCACCGGCACCACATCTGAGAGTCAAAGATTAGACAGTAAGAAACCAAACTCGGGGTCCACAACCACCCCCAAAAGCCTGATTCCCAGGAGATGCCGGCAGCTGAGAACTTCTCACCAGACCATGAGTCCCTGGGGCTGCACAATCCCCTCTCTCCCTTCCCTGGCCACTTGAATTTACCTGCCTAGGTGCACGAGTGGTCTAGATGACATCCTGAACAAAGTTCCCCACTGTCACCTGGGGGCTGTCGGAGGCCCTAAGCCTCTGGCCTGAAGCACCCACTGGAACCTCCTCACTCCTGAGTCCCCTTTGGGATGATGAGGCCACTTGGTTTCACGTCTCCCAGTGCCTGATTCAAGCCCCTTTGACCATCTCTCCCCTGCCACGTGGTTCTAGACCCCTCCTCACCCTTGCCCATCCTTGCACTGCAGACCACCCACTCAGGCCTTCCTACTGTGCTCTGGGACCTCGTCGGTGCCATTGTGCCCTTGGACCCCGCACCTTTCCTCCTCCACCTCCATAGCCAGTCGCCAGCCTCTGGTCTGGGGATTCCACCCCATCCTCTTGGGGCTCATTCACCCCAGCAACCTTCGCCTCCATCCCCTCCAGCAGCTGCCACGCCTCAGAGAGCTTGCTCGGGAGGAACTGAGCTCACATGAAACTCACCTGGGAAAATGAACTGCTGCCTGTATTTGTAGTAGTGGGACGCTTGTGAAAGAAAGAAAACATCACAGTGAGCGCTGCCCTGGGTGGGCCCTTCAGGTAACAAATGGGGCTCCTGAGGCCACCTGTGGTTCTCTGCCCGCCCCTGAGGTTTCCAGACTTCTGCAGACACCCCGAATTCCAAGGGACTGAGAACATGTGTAAAGAAGCCAGAAACATCCAAGCCAACCCTCCCACTGACACTCCCTGAAAACAGAGCACCCCAACTCAGACAGCCATCCTGAGCATCTTTGTTAAATGCGTAAATGCATAAGGACACACATATACAGAGAGAAAAGTCTCTAAAGCCACAAAATCTAACACAGTAATCTTCTTCCTTCTGGCAGAGCGATGACAGTGGCTTAAAAAAAATCTTTTATGACCACAATAAGGTATCACCTCACAACTGTTAGGATGTCTATTATCAAAAAGACAAGAAATAACAAGTGCTGGTAAAGATGTAAAGGAAAGGAAACCCTTGTGCATTGTTGATGGGAATGTAAATTGGTAGAGCCACTATAGAAAACAGTATGGGGGTTCCTAAAAAAATTAAAATTAGAACTACCATATGATCCAGCGATTCCACTTCTGGGTATATATCCGAAGGCAAAGAAATCACTATCCCAAAGACATGGACACAACCTAAGTCCCCATCAACAGACAAATGGATAAAGAACACACACACACACACACACACACACACACATACACACAATTGAAAACTATTCAGCCATAATAAAGAATGAAATCTTGTCATTTGTGACAACATGGATGGACCTAGAGGGTATTATGCTAAGTGAAATAAGTCAGACAGAGAAAGACAAACAGTATGATCTCACTTACATGCAGAATCTATAAAAAAACAAACTCATGGAAACAGAGATCAGATCTGTGATTGCCAGAAGTGGGGAATGGGGATAGGAGAATTGGGTGAAGGTGGTCAAAAGGTACAAACGTCTAGTTATAAGACAAATAAGTCCAGGGGATGTGATGTACAGCATGGCGACTGTAATTAACAATACTTTATCGTCTATTTGAAAGAAGCTAAGACAGTAGATCTTAAAAGTTCTCATCACAAGGAAAAACAATTGATAACTATGTGAGGTGATGGATGTTATTTTGCAACAGATACATATATCAAATCATTATATCCTTAAACTTATACAATGTTATATGTCAACTGTATCTCAATAAAACTGGAAAAAGTCCTTTATGTGTTTCTTGTGTTTTTCCAATTTGCTGCATTGAGCATTGTATTAGTTTTCTTATTGCTGCTGTAATAACTTACCATAAACTGGATGGCTTAAAACAGTACAACTTTATCCTCTTCGAGTTCTGGAGGTCAGAAGTCTAAAAACAGTTGTAAGGGGCTAAATGAAGGTGTTGGCAGGACTGATTCTTTCTGGAGGCTCCAAAGGAGAATCCACTCCTTGCCTTTTCCAGCTGTAGTGCCCGTCTGGATTTCTTGGATCACAGCCCCATCACCCCAATCTCTGCTTCTGTCCCGACATCGCCTTCTACCGTCTTTGACCTTCTCATCTCGCTCTCATAAGGATCCTCATGATTGCATTTCGAGTCCACCCAGATAATCCAGGGTAATCTTTCCACCTCAAGATCCTTAATTTAGTAACAGCTGCAAAGGTCTTTTTGCCATATAAAGTAACATATTCACAGAACCCAGGATTAGAGTGTGGTCCTCTTTGGGGGACCATTATTCTGCCTACCACAGGCATGAATTAATTTCCATATTTAGGGAGAAAAATCATATAAAAGAAACTTCCTCAAATTCACTGCTCGTTCTCTTACAATTCATTTTACTTCCAGTCTGTTCACTGGAGGCCAGTTGTTCTGGACATCCTCAAGGTTTCCAATGTTACCACTATTCCAGTAGGGTGGAGGGCCTGGACCATGGAGTACAAGGGGTGTCAGGGGTGGGGGACAGGTCACAGAGTTTTATAACCTCAAGTAAAGGCAGTGAGCAGGGGTGGGATCAGATATGAGTCTGAGTTGGTGAATATACTTCCAGAAACAGTTTTATTCATTCAGCGACAAGCTGGCTCACCAAGAATTAGCACAGTGGTTCCAAGCCTGGAGTCTGGAAGCTGTAGGGCTGAATTCTTGTTCTTCCTTGATTGCTTATAAAAGCTTCAGCAACTCTCTCCAAGTCTCAGTCTCCAGATGTGTAAAATGGGGATAATAAAAAATCTCTCCTTCATAGGGCTGAGCTCATCATGACATGAGATAAGAGGGCATAGAACGTGCAGAATCAGGATCAGCTGCGATGCATAAGCCCATCTCTTTCTAAGCTCTCTTAACTAACAGACAACAATGCTTTATAATTCATAGACAGTCAGATGGTTTCAAAGAGCTAAGCCATTAGCTGCCCCTGAGGGTGCAGTTGATTTATAAATTCCCCCTGGGATGGACAGCAAGTCCTGGCATCTCAGGATCACAAGCACCTGGTTTGGTGCCTTGCACCCAGTGGGTAAGCTGCTCACGTTTGTTGAATTACTCAACTCTCTTTTAGCACATCAATTCCCAAATATCTCAGCTAGTTGGAATTGAAATGGATGCTTTTTTTTTTTTTCCGGTATGCGGGCCTCTCACTGCTGTGGCCTCTCCCGTTGCGGGGCACAGGCTCCAGACGCGCAGGCTCAGCGGCCATGGCTCACGGGCCCAGCCGCTCTGCGGCATGTGGGATCTTCCCGGACCGGGGCACGAACCCATGTCCCCTGCATCGGCAGGCGGACTCTCAACCACTGCGCCACCAGGGAAGCCCATGGATGCATTTTTGATTCCGGAAAATGAAGTGCCTGGGCTGGGAAGCAACTCATTCAAGGTTACAGAACAAAGCTTTAAAAGAAATCCAACCTCCGTGATGTCAGGGACCTTTCTTCCATTAGATAACTTAGGTTTTTTCATTGCAGGCAGACATGTTGTTAGTCAACAAGGGGCTAAAATTAAAAGAAGAAAAACTACCTGGGATTGTCAAGAGACTTACGTGATCTCTTCCCTCCCCAACTGGGACTGAGGATTCAGTGTCTGCAGAAAAGGCACCACTCTGAGACGGGACAGGTGTCAGGCAATGCGACACCTGGCAAATGCCTCCACGCTCAGAGCTAACCTCCACCTGGACCCCTTCAAGTGCCTGATAACAGCTCGGTCCTGATGGCCGAAAGGGAGAGAGTCTTGGCCAGAGGAGGAGGGAAAGGGCGCTGTGAGTCCTGCCTGTTCTTGCTGATAACAGACACCAGCGAGAAGCAGGTCTGAGGGGCAGCAGATGAACCCGAGTGGCTCCTGGCTCTCTGGCATCAAAGAGGACCCAGGAACTGGGAGGCTGCAGATGACCAGAGGTCAGAGAGACAAGCAGGCCACTTTGAAGGCTCTTCCACTCTGAAGCCCCCATTCCCTCCCTATGGGCTCCTCAGAGAGCAGCCTGAGTGGTCATCTGAAAGGAAGGATCTAGAAGGAAAGAAGAAAGAGCAAAATATCCCCTGCCTAAACCTTGCAACTGCCTCTCATTGTGTCTAAATAAAATCTAAATTCCTGCCAAGCCCTACAAGGCCCTGCCAGGCCTCAGCCCTGCAGCTCTGAGCCTTGCTTGGTGCCTTGTTTATGGCACTCCAGCCACTGGGACATTTTTTTCCAGCTCTTTTCCGTGGCAGGGGCTTTGCATGTGTTCCCCTCTCTTTGCCTGGACAACTCCCCACCAGCCCTCTCTGGCCAGTCCTCAGGGCTCAGCTGCCTCTGACCTCTCAACCTAAACTTGCTCCCTTCTTAAATTTGCTCATAGCACTCCCTTCTCTCCCTTCACAGCGCTTATCACAACTTATAATCCTATTTCCATGTGTATGTTTGCTCAGCTAACACCTGTCTCTCCCACTAAGCTATAAACTCCATGAGAACGGAGACTGTGACAGGCAGAATGATGCCCTCTCCCCCACCCCCATCCCCCATCAAGATGGCCATACCCTGGCCACTGGAACCCATGAATATGTTACTTTACGTGGCAAAAGGGACTTTGCAGAGGTGAAGAAGTGAAGGGTCTTGAGATGAGGAGATTATCCTGGACTCTCTGGGTGAACCCTAAACATAACCACAAGGGTCCTTACGAGAGGGAGGCAGGAGGATCCAAGTCAGAGAGAATCACAGGAGATGTGATAACAGAGGCAGAGTCTGGAGTGATGCGAGGCCATGAGCAAAGGAATGCAGGCAGCCTCTAGAAGCTGGGAAAAGGCAAGGAAATGGATTCCTTCCTAGAACCTCCAAAAGAAACCAGCTCCGTAAACTCCTTGATTTTGAGCCCAGTGAAACTGATTTTGGACTTCTGACCTCCATAACCATAAGATAATAAATTTCTGCTGCTTTAAGCCTCTAAGCTCGTGGTGATTTGCTACAGCAGCAACGGCACACTTTTACAGGGCATTTCTGGTTTGTGCCTTGCCCCATAAGTGGTGCCTTGTACAGTACCTGGTGTGTAGTAGATGCTTAATAAATACGCATTAAGGATATCGGAATGGATGAATGCAGTCTGAGGGCCAGAAGACAGTTTAAAGGAAAAAAAAAAACAACCTGAAGCTCTGGGCAGTGCATGAGCCTCAAGTCACTCGTTCACTCATTCAGCAAACATCTAATCAACGCCTTGAGCAGTGGGCACTATGATGGGCTTTGGGCGCAGAGGGGTGGATGAACCAGACTAGTTTCCTAGTCTCATGGAGCTGATGTTCTGAGGCAGGAGACAGACACGAAACGTGGCACTAGGTTACGCCCAAGAAAGAAGGCATTTGAACACTCCAGCCTCTAAAACCCACACAATAGTCCCTTACAAAGCTCCTTCATGTACCTTCCCACATCAAATGTCACACAAGCCTGCAAGTTAGACCCACTTTACAGATGAGAAACTGAGATCTAAACAGCACCAGTGCCATACTCAAGGCCACAGAGGTGGGAAGGGGCAAATCTGGGATCCAAATATAGCCCTCTTTTTTTTTTTTTTTTTTTTTTTTT